AAACTCCGTCCTCTCACTTAAACGACGTCCTCTCACTTAAACGACGTCCTGTGAAGGGCTCTTGATTGGGATATTCAACAATAAACTAGAGAAGAAATCAAAACTGATCGCTGCATTTAAGTATTGCACTAATATTTACATTTTAGAAGTCCAACGATAATTTTTCTGCCACTACATAATTGAAAGACAATTTGATGTACGTAGGTCTTTACTTTCCGTACAAATAATTATTTTTATTTCATGGGAGTCTTTCGATGGATTTCACAATTACTCTCGATTATTCTCAAATTTATTTCCAAGTTATAAAAATTGTTACCGTAGAAAAAAAAAAAAAAAAAAAAAAAAAAAATTCGTCGCAAAAAAAATCACGTACAAAATGGCAGTAATGAAAACTTCGAAATCCAAAATTTCAGGATTGCGGAACTGGATCCGGTCCGGAATAGTTTTTAATTTGCTCACGGGGTCGGTCTGATTCCAAAATGATAGGATATGTTGGATTACGGCCTCTAGGAGTAAAGTTGAAAAAGTGTGACACAATGATACACTGACATTGGCATTTACTATTTAGAAGAAGGAGATGCTCTATTGAGAGTTGTGTCGCTTTAGTTGAAAAAGTGTGACACACTGACATTAGCATTTATTATATCGATATCAAACAGACGTTCTTCGCGATAATTTTTACAGTTAAATAAGTAAGCGAACAAAACGTGAGCCGATCAACACTGGCAAAACCTGTCTAGCAAAACTTGCATTGAATCTCTGCATAGTCGATCGTAATTTACCAAACGACAATCATCAATGACATAAACTAATGGCCCCACTCAAGAAGCAATACAATACTGTCCCTTTTTGTTTTCAATTCACAAAACTGACAAGGAGCACCAAAATTGCGGGGGAAATATGGTAAAAACCTCATTCCAAATTGTTTAAGGACAACGGGATATTTTTAACTGGAGGCTCTGCGTCTTGTCACAAAGAATTTTATTGTTCGCTTTTCAAAGAAAACTTGTCTCGTTTCTTAAATAACGCACTTTATCTTTTCTTTCTTTCATTTTTGTCATCGGCTTTTATTTCGTATGTCTTCGTTTCTTGAACGTTATTCTCATCTTACTGCATCACTATGTGACCTCCGTTGAAATCCACTAAAATCAGGGCCAATTATCTTGAAGCAAAAGTGTCCGTCACCTTGGGCAAGAAAATTAATCCTTCCTAAATGCAGACGCCATTTGTCTTTTCGCTTGCAGGTAAAACACATTGTTCCAAGCTAAAAGCCGAGGCGAATAAATTAATAAAAAAAAAAGGAAAATAGGCAAGAAATGTATGAGAATTAAGGAAACACAAAAAAAATAATAATGAAAGGATCTGGCGTTACAGAATCTTCTTGCTTTTTGTCTTTGTTTCTCTTTTCGTGTTGGCTAATCTTTTTGATTCTTCATCTCACCCTGAAAATACCATTATTATCTTTCTTTCTTTCTTTCTTTCTTTTTCTTTCTTTCTTTTTCTTTCTTTTTCTTTCTTTTTCTTTCTTTCTTTCTTTCTTTCTTTCTTTCTTTCTATTTTCGTCTCTCCTTTTCTTTCCATTTTTAAAATCTCTTTCTCTTTTTTTCTCTCTCTTATCTTTTCTCCTGCCACTTCAACTCTCACGCGCTCAATTCCTGTAAATGTCTTTCCTTCATTTCTCCCTCCCTTCCTTCCTTTCTTCCGTCCTTCCTCTATTTTATCTATTATCATTTCCTTCTCTCTTCTTTTCTCTCTTTTCGCGATTATCTCTCTCTCTTTCCCATCTCACTTCTCTTCTCCCCTCTCATTCCTCGTTTTCGAACAATCTTCCCTATTTCTCCCTTTTTCTGATGTTCCCTTTGATTGCTTCTCATGATCTTCTCTCTTCTCCTCCCTTTCTTATCTTTTTGCCTTTCCCTTTTTCCTTTCCTTTCTTTGTTCCTTTCTTTCCATCTATCTCCACAAAATCTTCTCTTCACGACTCCCCATACCCGAGGGTAGGACTGACTTCCTTGGCCAAGGAATCAATGACGTCCACATGAGACAAGTCAGACATCATATTAGCTCTCATCAAAAGCTGACAATATCATTGCCAATCGCATCACTTTATAAGAAAGGGAACCCATTTATCAAAGACACACCAAGACAAAATGTCCCTTCATTTCAAGGGCACCTGGCTCTTAGCTTCAGGATGATGTTTATTTCCATTCCGTACAATCGGTCCGTACAATCGGTCCAGGAAAAAAAAAACTGGGTTCAAACCTTAGTTTCAACTCTCGTTTTCATACCTCCAGCTGTTACTTACCCGACGGACATCTTGGCAGCAATTATTATTGTTATTATTATTAACTTTTATCTACTCTTGTGGCTACTGTAGTAAATTAAATGATAGCAGGTTTCCCAGGAGTATTGTTATTATTGTTTACGACTTTCTTCTATTGACTTGTCGGTAATGTAGAATACAAGAGATATGAAGTCGCATCACACCATTCTTCTTCTTCTTCTTCTTCTTATTATTATTATTATTAATAATAATAATAATTTTGTTTGGTTTGTTTTACGGCGTATCAACTACAATTGGTTATTCAATGCCGACAAGATTTTTATGCTGATAATATTTTTTTAGGATCATCATTATTATCATCATCATCATTATTAACTATTATATACGCTTGTGGCTATTGCAGTAAATTATGTGATAGAAAGTTTCGCCAATTATTATTATTATTATTATTATTATTATTATTATTATTAATAATTTGGTTTGGTTTTTTTTACAGCATATCAACACCTCAATGGATTATTTAATGCCGACAAGATTTTTATACTGATATTTTTTTTTTCTAAAATGTATTGTCGGTAATATTTTTTCAAAAAATGCATTGCAAAAATATATAGCTTGTATTAATGTATTGTTGGTAATAATTTTTCCAAAACAGTATTGTTGGTATTAAAACCTATTTTTATGCTTTCATTGTGTTTTCACCCCAGCTTCGGGGTTAACTATTTACCCATAGCTAGGACCCTAACAGGTGCCGCCACACCGGGTCGGGGTGGACCTGGAAACATTAACAATTCAGAGGTGGTTCCACGCTCCTCAAAACCTCCTGATCAAAGGCTTTGCTGTTGGGTGTAGTTTATCGTCTTACCCAAGTCGCGGATGTAGTTTACCGTCTTACGCAGGACGATATTATTAATACTAGTTTCTGACTCGTTTTATTGCTTTTTATCACAACATCCTGGGCCGATTTCTTCTTCTTCTTCTGTTAGTAAATTTAGTAGTAAAATCTTACGCTTTAAGACCTATGGATAAATTATTTTCATTTTCCCACTTAGTCGTGTAAGAAGTTGTACAACGATGTCGATCCTCATTGGGTAAACTATTGTTAAACAAAAATAAACATATTGGTGCCGGGTATCTACAATAAGAATTGAGAACGATTTTGGAAGTTTTTATTATTATTATTATTATTATTGTTGTTGTTGTTGTTGTTGTTGCTACTACTACTATTGGAATAGCGAAAGATGCCTTGCAAAAGCAAAGCAAAGTATGAAGAAACCAAAGAATATCGTTAAGAATAAAGAAAATAGTGCTGAATTATTATATATTATCGGTCCTCCTATATGACAGTGAACGCCGGGCAATTCCTTCACAGATGAAGAAGAGACTTGAAGCAACAGATATGTGGTTATACAGAAGGGTGCTGAGAATGCTTTGGTCTGAACATGTGAGCAACGACGAAGTACAAATCAAGAGGTACAACTGTACTTAGAATCAGAAAGAGACAGTTGAAATATTTCTAAGACACATAATAAGGAAAGTGAGGTTGGAGAAATAAACACTCACTAGATATATTGAAGGCAAGAGGAATGAGAAAGCAGCGAATCACCTACATAACGAGGTTGTGTAAATGTTTGGCAGAACAGGGATTACGAGGGATAGAAAAAAGACAAAAAATACTGTCATGGGGTCCACCCCTTTTTCATATAAGTGGACTCGACCAGAGTGTTACTTGGACTGCTGTCGTTAAATACCCAGGGTCAGTCAAAATATACAGAGAGTGTGAGCAGAGATTATGATTGAGTTGGAAGTAGAGTAATAGTGTGAGGTAACCGCTACTATAAAAAAAATAGACAAAGAATTGTAAAGACTTGAACAAACTGGGATTCTCTCAAAAACAGAGTTTAGCGAGTGGGCAGCGCCTGTGGTTTATGTAAAAAAGAAGTCAGGAGAAATCCGTGTATGCGCAGATTTTTCGACGGGACTCAACAAGGCGATAAAAGACCACCATTACCCACTACCGAACCCAGAAGAAATATTTACAAAGCTCAACGGCGGTAAGATATTTTCAAAAAACAGATCTAAGTGAGGATTCTATGGATACAATCTTCGAAGCGTTTGAGATCCAAAGACCGCAGGAAGACAGCGAAATGAGAAACAGGAAGAGAAAATTTGTCGAATCCTTGATTATCAACCATAAGAGACAAAAGTACTAACTCCCCCAAGAAAGGGATCTAAGGAGGGGGTGTTATGGGTTACTTGGACTGCTGCTGTTAAATATCCAGAGTCAGTCAGAATATACAGAGAGTGTGAGCAGAGATTGTGATTGAGTTGGAGGTAGAGTAATAGTGTGAGGTAACAGCTTGTAGAAGTCAGTTACAAGCACGTAGACTCTAAGGAAGTCCTACTTCGAGACTGTATATATATATATATATATATATTATTACGGCAAACCGCGTTCCTGGATTTACTAACAGAATTACCCATTGTATTATTGTGTAAATACATTTAATTTCTTATCTTTAATTCTTGCGTTTGTCATTCAGTGGAGAGCGAATTTCATCTCGGAATCCACAACAGCTTCAAAGGACGGGAGGTTGTGGAGAACACTGATTGCCCACGTCCTGAAGGTATACGACACAGAGAAGAAGAATTCGTTTTGTGTAAAAAAGAAGTTGAAGAAAGCGCACTTTAGCGGAGATTATAGAAGAGCGGGAGGATAGACAAGTTTTCGTACGGTCACCGAAGTTAAACAACGTCGGACCTGCTCAGTACTTAGATGGGTAACCACTTGGGAATACCAGGTGCTGTAAGCATGGATGTGCAGGTAGTGTAATGGATAAGGGCTCTGAATTGTAAATCAGAGAGCCGAGTTCCAGTTCCCGTTGGATTTGTTCTCTTACACTCGCATACCTTTGGGAAGGGTATCAATCCACCTCTTCTCCTCCAAGATATGGGTTAATTAGTAAGACTTAAAGCAATAAACCATTATTATCTCAAAAAATATTTTCTTTAAATAACCTGTGAAGTGTCAATAAACCCTGGAAAACGAATCAATCAAGTACTGATTAGCTACAGAGGTAAGTGTTTTAGATTTAATTACATTCTCTGGAATATAAATGCATACCAACTATCATGGCTATAAAGTGAGGGATCTGTTTATATATTGATTGTAATATAGAACTGATCCCCAACCTTATATCCACATTATAATTTATTGTTTGTTTATAAAATTCTGATTAGGTATGAATCCTCCTTTTCTCCCCCAGCTATGGGCTAATTTGTAAGATTGGCATCATTAAATTTTTATTTTCATATTCACGACTTTTCGCGCGTTGTACTTGGTGACACATGGCTCAGTGGATACAAGGGTTGGTTGAATGATCCTAAAAGTGACTTGATCCAAAAAGTTGTGAGTTCAATCCCAGGTGTAAAAAACTTGGAGGCAGAGACAACGAAAACTTATAAAGGCGAATTATGTGCAATCGAAACATTCAAAGGCATGGTAGGTGGGATTCAAACAATCACTATCACCCCCCACCACTACTACTACAAAAAAAAAACAAACAAAAAAAAACACACCGTGGACCAAATAAAGCGTTCAGTTCGGTATTCTAACAAATAGCACCTGAAGAAGACCGGAGCGTACAACGGCTGAAACGTCGTGAATGTGACAATAAAATTCGAACAATGTAAATAATGAGTTATTTGAGTCAAAATTATGGTCAGAGAATTCAGTTTTAATTAAAAAAATTTTGAGGTGAACAATTTTTGAAAATGTTCTAGTATCGGAATCTTCAGTTTGCTTGTTTTTTTTATCATTTCACCCCAAGTACGGCAATAAAGCTACTAAGATGCAAGGAGTTACAGAGATTAAAATAACAAAAAAAAAACAAAAAAAAAAAAACGTTATTCTGCAGAAATAACAAGAACAGGATTCAAATGGACAAAAGCTGACGATTGACGTTGCCTATGCATTTTTGAAGATCCTAGTTGACAGGAAAGCAAGAAGAGAGTTCCACAGGCGAGAAGTACGAGAGAAGAAACTATTTGAATAGAACTTACGGTTACATTTACCCATTTCAACTTTAACATGATGAGACCTAGCCGCCAACCTAGTACTGCAGTTAAATTCGTGAAGTCGATGTATCAAAGTGGAAAGCCTATCATAACAATTACCATGAAACAATTCATAGAAAAAGGACAGACAAGCTACGTTACGGCAGTGGGAATGTGATTGAAGCCGAGATGCCTATTCAGTACCGGTAATTTTGCAGATGTTTCTTTGGATTCTGACAAGAATCTCTAGATACATAGCAGAAGCAGCAGACTGGATTTATAAAAGTGTATTACGTCTATCGGCCTATGCATTCAAAAAATCTGCATAAAGAAAAAAATGCTATCCGTCGGGGATCGAAACCTGCTCGAGAGATTTTCTTATTTTAAAACTTCTCGCAAACCACATGCTGATAGAAGTAATACTCAATGTTTAAAATAAAATGAAAATGGGGCGTCTTTTTCAAATATGGGTATCCACTATAATAACGTTTGAATTCATAAAATTAAATTATAATTATAATATATATATATATATATATATATATATATATATATATATATATATATATATATATTTTGATATTGGGACAGCAGATCATTATTTAAATATATATTATTAAATATAACAGACAACGAATGTCTTTTATGTCTGATCTTTCAGCCGTTCTAAGGTTCTAAGTGATCAAATTTCTGGTGAAAATAGAGGCAAAAAATTGTTCAACATTTGGAGGATTTTTAAGTTGATCCTAAGCTTTCGGAAACATGAGCCATCCTCAGAGTGTTATACACTTAGTAAATATATATATATATATATATATATATATATATATATATATATATATATATATATATATATATATATATATATATATAAAAATTAAAAACCATAAGTTGAAAACAGCCAGGCTTAAAAGTATACTCTCTCTCTCACACACACACACACACACACACACACACACACATATATATATATATATATATATATATATATATATATATATATATATATATAAAAAAAAGAACAGTAAGATATAAAATCCGGTGTTCTTATAGATATTTTTATTTTTACAAAATAGTGCTCAATGTAAATTTACAGAGCATTAATATTATAAATTAATTGATTTAAAATATTTTTTTTTTTTTTACACAGTTCTAACCATGTTTCAAAAATAGAAGCTAAAAAATTAATGAATTTTGCAATTAAATTAAAAGCATTAGTTCCATTTCATCCTCAAACGAATTTATATATATATATATATATATATATATATATATATATAAAATAATAGCTGTTTACTAGAGCGGCAATATACCTATTGCAGACGCTCGCTCAGGCAAATTTTTAAATACTCAACAATAATAATATTTGTAGTTTATACTGCAATAATGCTTAGCAGACCTGGCAATTTACTGTTTCTGGGAGAGAGCGTGTTATCTAGCGTGATCAACAATTTTGAAATATCACCAGCTCATGCCCTCAGCCACGATGACTTGTCATTTCTTAATTTAGCACAGCTATCGACGGCCCCACTAAGAAAAGATTACCGAATTTCACTACAATGCTTGGATCAACATTGGTATAAATTTTATGTCCAATTTTGTATGGCTTTTTCCAAATTGCCGCAATCTGGGAATTTATAACCTCGGTTCATTCTGATTAGCATCAGAAAGTATATTTTTACAAACCGACCAATTTAGATTCGAAGCTGGTGTATTTATATTATATATATATATATATATATATATATATATATATATATATATATATATATATATATATATATATATATATATATATATAAATATATATACATCATATGTATATATTTATGGGATAAAGTGCCCAATATCAGAGATAAATCGTTTTTCTTTGTTAATATAAAGTGAAAAATGTCAATTTTAAAGGCGACAGGCTGTTTCATGTAGATGCAATCGTCAGGCAACCTGACGATTGCATCTATAGTATGAAACAGAATGTGGCCTCTATTGTGTTGACTTATATAAATATTATATATATATATATATACACGCGCGAGGAGTGTTGAAGATTTGTCGGCTAGACTACTAAAGTCTGATGTTTCGTTATTTGTTCAGTTTTTAAGAAGTGGTTCGAACCCAGAACTTCCCACAAATTATTTTGTGGATTTATCAACCGATTCGATCACTTCTAAATGGTAGACGCCTTCACTCTTTTTATATATTTATACACATTGGTTAAAACCAATGCCGCCATGTTGCCCTTATCTTTTCTGGTGTATATATTTAATAATATAATTGTAAACCTAAACAAACACGTCGGTACATGTGTCCTTACTGAAGAAAAGAGAAAAGCGTGGATACATAGCGGTTTACTGACACGATTCGTTCTGGTGATAACGTCTGCGCCGAGAGAAGTGTACGCATGCGCGCTAATATGTGCATGGAATCGCGCATGCGGACATTTCACCCTCATTAAACCACCACCTCCGTTTATCTCCATTTATAATTCGCGCTTCTCTTTCACTCTCTTTCGCCATTTTATTTATTTTTTAGTTTCTCTTCTAGCCTATTAAAAAAATAAAAAAATAAAAAAATTCGTCCAATTACTTCCCGCCGCCATTTTCCCCGTCGGTCTCAAACGATATTCGTTTAAGTTTATCACCAGACCTCTATCCATTCTTTCTGTCTTGCGATTTTTTTTTTTTTGTTACATTACATTTTCTGTTTTTTTTTTTTTTTTTTTTCACTGAATGACTTTGTTCAACATGGCCGATTTTCCCGCCTTTTTTGTCATCGGCTTTGAAAAAAAATATTTTACTCAATATTGCCCGTTGCTTACGTCTTTATTTCTTTCCTCCACCCAATTACCACCTTTTTTTTTATTTCTCTCGGCCTATTCCCTCTCCCTCTTTCTCTTTCTCTCTTTCTTTCTCTCTCTCTCTCTGACTTTGTTTAACCAGCTCCTGTCCCTCTTTCTCATGTCCGAACACCAACGCTAGACACGTCAGTTGTTGGAATATGTCCGCATGATATTTATTTATTTATTTATTTATTTTCTTTCTTTCTTTCTTTCTTTCTTTCTTTCTTTCTTTTTTTTTTTTATTTTATTTTTTTCTTTTTTTCTTTTTCATTTCATTTCTTTCTTTCTTTTTTTTCATTTTCATTTCATTTTTCTTTCTTTCTTTTCATTTCATCCTTTCTTTCTTTCTTTCTTCTCTTTTCATTTCATCCTTTCTTTCTTTCTTTCTTTCTTTTCATTTCATCCTTTCTTTCTTTCTTTCTTCTCTTTTCATTTCATCCTTTCTTTCTTTCTTTCTTCTCTTTTCATTTCATCCTTTCTTTCTTTCTTCTCTTTTCATTTCATCCTTTCTTTCTTTCTTTCTTTCTTCTCTTTTCATTTCATCCTTTCTTTCTTTCTTTCTTTCTTTCTTCTTTTTCTTTCTTTCTTTCTTGTTTGTTTTCTTTTATTTTTCTGAATTTCTTTCATAGAACGAATTTATTTTTTATTTTCTTGATTCTTTTCTTTCTCCGTATTTCTTTCTTTTCCAGGATTTTTTTTTTTTTTTTTTTTTTTTTGGTGTTTTGTTTTAGTCCCCTTTTAAATTTTTTTCTTTCTTACATTCTTTAGTTCTTTCTTTTTTTTTTTTTTTTGCTTTTGTCTCTGTATTTCTTTCTTTATTTTTCCCTTTCTCCTTTTCTGTATTTCTTTCTTTCTTTCTTTTCGGTGATTTTGTTCTTTTTCTTTGTTTTAATTATATTCTTTCTTTCTTACTTTCTTTTCTCGATTCTTTCCTTTTTCACTCTCTGTATTTATCTTCGCAACTTTTTCATTTCATCCATTTCTGTCTTTCTATTTTCTTTCTCTTCCTTGTTTTCTTTCTTATCACTTTTTTGTTTTTTTTATTTCTTTTCTCGGTTGTTTTCTTTTCCTTTCAATTATTCAAAAGCTTTTTCGTTTCATACAATTCTTTGTTTCTTTCTTTGTCTTTTTCTTTTTCTTTTTTTCTGTATCTCTTTCGTAGCCATTTTCCGTTTTCTTCCTTTCTCTTCATCGATTTTTCTTTTTCGTTCTCATTATTTTTTCTTAGTATCTTTTCTTTCCTTTTTTATATTTTTCGCGACAATTTCTTTTTCTTCCTCTGAATTTATTTCTTATCAAATTTTCGTTTGATATTTTTGACACTTTTTGGCTTTTTTTTCCTTTCTTTCTCTTCTCGATATTTTCTTTTTCTTTGTTTCTTTCGTAGCACCTTTTAATTTTATTCTTTCTTTTTTTTCTCCTTGATTAATTTTGTTTTCTCTATTTCTTTCCTTGAATTTTTCTTTCTTCCTTTTCCTTTTCCTTAATTGTTTTCTTTTTTTGTAATTGTTTCCTTGCGTCATTTTTTTCTTTTTTTTCTTTCTTTCTTTTTTCTTTCTTTCTTTCTTTCTTTCTTTCTTTTTCTCAATAGATTTCTTTTTCTGTAATTCTTTCTATGCATTTTTTCTTTCTTTCTTTTATTTTCTTTTCTTTTTTCTTTCTTTCTTTCTTTATTTTCATTGTTTTCCTTTTCTGTAATTGTTTCCTTGCATCTTTTCTTTCTTTCTTTCTTTCTTTCTTTTCTTTCTTTCTTTCCTTCTTTATTTTCATTTTTTCTTTTTCTGAATTTTTTCCTGCGTCTTTTCTTTCTTTCTTTCTTTCTTTCTTTTCCGTAATAGATTTCTTTTTCTGTAATTCTTTCTATGCATCTTCTTTCTTTCTTTCTTTCTTTCTTTTCCGCCATGTTATTTTTCTCTTTATTGTCGTGTTCCTCTGTTACTCAGTTTATTTTCCTAGTAATCTTTTTCCCTATTATGATTTTAATCTCATTTTTCTTTTGTCATTGCTCCCCGCTTTCTTTGTATGATCTCCCCTCTTCTCTCCATTTAGATTATTTCCCTTTTCTCCTTCTTCGTTGCCACTTTATTCCTCCCTTCATTTGTCAACTAATTCCCCCCCCCACCGCTTAACCCTGCTCCGAACAGCATTGCTTCATCCGTTACCCACCCTGAACGAATTCATTCATTTAATGTAGCGTTTTTGGCGCGCTATTCTCCTCCTCCCCATTTCATTCATCGCCCGTTTTCCCGCCATCAGTTTCGACCTTTCCTCTTCGACGCCTGCCCGAGACCCATACGCACTGGGCAATCCCCGAGGGACAAGTGAATCGTCTTAATTAGAAATTGTTTGACGGATGCGAACAGGTGTCTCGGGACCCGCCAGTTGAAATCACCCACCCACGTCAGACGCCCCATTTTGCACGCGCTTCGGCGCGGCCCACTACCCCACCCGACTGTTTTTCACCCGCAGCTGAGTTACTTCCTTTTTTTTTTATTTTTATTTAAAAAACAAAAATAAACAAAAACAATTTATTTTTCTTTCATAATTCTTTCTTTCTTTCATAATTCTTTCTTTCTTTCTTTCATAATTCTTTCTTTCATAATTATTTCTTTCTTTCTTTCTTCATTTCATAATTCTTTCTTTTTTTCTTAATTCTTTCTTTCTTTCATAATTCTTTCTTTCTTTCTTTCTTCATTTCATAATTCTTTCTTTCTTTCTTTCATAATTCTTTCTTTCTTTCTTTCTTTCTTTTAGTGCCTTCTTTCGTGTACTTTTTCTCTTCATTTTTAATTCCTTCGTATTCATTCATTCTTTCATTCAGTCACTCTTTTTTTATCTTTCTTTTTTCTTTCATTCATTCGTTCTTTTTTCTTTCTTTTTTTCATTGAATGATTCATTCATTTATTCAATTTTTTTTTCTTTTTTCTTTCATTCATTCGTTCTTTTTTCTTTCTTTTTTCATTCATTCATTTAGTCATTCTTTTTTCATTCATTCATTCTTTCTTTCACGCTGTCATTTTTCTTATTCTACAATATCTCCCCACACCATCTTTTTCTATGACTCTTTAAACACTCCCTCTTTTGTCTTTATGTTCTTTCTTTCTTTCTTTCTTTCCTGCCTTCTCGCACCAACCACTGTCTTTGGCCACAGATGGCTTTGACAGCAGTTAAAATGGACTTCGCTTGTTAAAAGCCGTTCGCTTGTATCGAAGATAATGTTGATAAAGCAGATATCCGAGGCAAGGGAGAACCAAAGTTGATAATGATAAGGCTGCTGGACCGTAGTCAAAGTGGTTTGGGTATTTGGGGTCCGGATACGGGATATTAGTGGGGCTTTGGGAGTGCGGTGACAGGAAGGGTTGCATTGAAGTAAAAAAAAACATAGAAGAACAGCCCAGGGTGAAATGAAGCAAAACAGGACAGCAAAGAAGGAGGAGGAGAAGAAGAGGAAGGAGGAGGAGCAGGAGAAGAAAAAAATCAAGTGATAGAGAGAGAGAGAGAGAGAGAGAGAGAGAGAGAGAAGAGAGGGAGAGAGAAATGATAAAAGAAAAACGAATAGAAGAGACAGAAATAAAATAAATAAAAGAGAAAGAGAAGGACAGAGAGAGGGAGAGAAAGAGAGAAAGTGCGGAATGAAAAAGAAAGAAATGAAAAACGTTATATATTTACAACAAAGAAAGTGAAGGGAAACGGATTTATTTAGCGGCACATCGATTGCTCTTCAAGGGTCATAAAGTCTCATGAATTTGTTTCTATCTTACATTAGAATTTTAAACTCCTAAAATGTCTTCAGGGCGCTTCAGTTAATTTATGCAAAGTCAAGCTTGAAGAAGACAGCCATAAAAAAAAAAAAAATGAAGGAAAGAAGAAAAGAAAGAAAAGAAAGAAAGAAGGAAATACCTACAGAGAGACGTGATAAGGATATAAAAAAGTCATTCTCCCTCTTCTTCTTTTTTCAACAGTCTGTCTTTATTTTCCTTTTCTCTTTCACACACACACACACACACACACACACACACACACGGTCCTTTCATCAGGAAGTTTCAACCATTGACTGCTGATTTTCCTTATTTTTATACTAAGGTAAAAATAATTTATGTAAAATTAATTAATGTGATGTTGATTTTTTGATATTTTCTCTGTGTGTTTCTTATATATATATATATAAGAAAGAGGTTGTAGTGGTTCCAACGAGAGAAAAGTATGTATATTAAAAAGAAGAGAAGAGAGGTGCCGCAAACGTTTTTGGTTGTAATGTCGATTTATATACATATATATATAGAGATAGAGAGAGATTTTATGAACAGTGGAATTTTATTACGTCTATAGTAATGTACTTATATATATATATATATATATATATATATATATATATATACACACACACAAGAAAGACGATACAGATTAAGAATTCGCCGTTCTTAGCATTTACTTTTAAAAAGTGCTCAGTACAATGTAGAACAAAATATTATAATAATATTTTCATTATAGAATATTTTTTCATCGCTACACAAAAATTTCTATGTTTCGGAACTTAAAAATTATTCCATCATCAGACGATGTTGGATAACTTATGATGAATATGATTTACTTGTGAAATTTGGAAAAGTTACTCAACATCGCCTCAACATATTTTTTTTCAAAGCCGATGACAAAAAAGGCGGGAAAATCGGCCATGTTGAACAAAGTCATTTTTAAGTTCCGAAACATAGAAATTTTTGAGTAGCGTTATAAAATATGTTATAATAAATGTAATAAATCTTCTTATAATATATATATATATATATATATATATATATATATATATATATATATAGTGTAAATTGGATATAAAGAGTTGTCGGGACCGGAGAGAAAATCTCTTATATCTGGGTTTGTCTTATATCCGGGGTTGGTCTATATGTCTACATTAACACATATCTAATTTGGGACCAGAAAAATCTCTCTTATATCCGGGTTTGGTCTATTTTATATCCATTAACACAGGTTCTAATTTGGGACCAGATAAAATCTCTCTTATATTCGGGTCTGTTATATCCAGGTTACATATATATATATATATATATATATATATATATATATATATAATATATATATATATAAATTCACCCCAAAAAAAAGGGAAGCAACCTTTAACTTTACGCAGAGTGTTACAGAGAGTGAAAAATTTTGAGAAAAATCTGAGTATAGGGAGGTGGGTTGATGAAAGCATTAAAGATGAATGGCGTTCAAGAAGACAAAAGATGGCGGTTGATGTTGCATTTTAATTTTTGAAGATTCTAGTTATCAGGGAAGCAAGTAAACGGGAGGGAGTTCCATAGACGGGGAAGTGTCAGAAAAGAAAATGTTGGTGTAGAAATGTCGGTTTATTATTTCAAAAGTAAAAGGATGAGTGGGACCTAGTTGCCACTCGAGTAGCACGCTTAAATTCATGTAGTCTGGACACCAGGGGAAAAAAAACCTCGAAAGAGCAGTTGACATAAAAAATATCTGTAGAAAAGACAGAGAGAAGCCATGTCACATCTGCGAGAAAGAGAAAGTCGATGGCAAGTTTTGGTTCAGCATTGCTGTAGCCTGGTATTGAACTCACAACTCTTTGGGTCGAGTTACTGGAGTTAACCAACGCTTTTATCCACTGGGCCATGATTCCTTGGAGACTTGGGAAATGAAATAACTGGGACATCCGGAATAGGCATGTCATGTGGAGCTAGAACAATCTAACCCGGTGGACGAAATAAAGGTTTTGATTCGAAATTCACCTGAAGAAGGCCGGAGCTAACAACTGGCGAAACGTTGTGAATAAGGCAATGAAAATGAGGATGACAGTCCGAACAATATAAATAACGTAATATATATATAGTATATATATATATATATATATATATATATATATATATATATATATATATATATATATATAGAGAGAGAGAAATATCTCCAACGAATTAAATAATATTTATGTTGGTCACTCCACAAACTCGCTTTCACGACGCTTGACACTACATTTGAATGAAAACTCTAACATTTTTAGGCATTTAAAACAACATGCCTGCCCGCACACACAATTCCGTAAAATACTTGTCGAAAACAATTATACTTCGACATGAAAACAATAGACAAAAACTAAAAATCCTTAAAGCATTATACATCAAACAGTTAAAACCCAACCTAAACAAAATCAATTATGGCATCTCTACAAATATTCTTAAATGTCTATAACTGGTAACAGAAGCCATTGGTTTATACCAACGGCTTCTCATACTTTATACTTCTCCAATTCACT